TGAACACGGGTTGAGTGGGCCTGATTGATTTGGTGTCTTGCGTCATCGGCATGAAGTGGTGCCTTGCCTTTGTCCTGATGGGGTCGCCTCTCGTCTGCTCTTGAGACGAATCCCCCGCTCTCTTGGAGTCTTTGGGACGCCTTTCCACCGAGGCTGTGTTGGACCCCTCGGCGGTCTTGCGCTCCTCCGAGCCTCTCGATGCCTGAGGTCCGAGGCCTTTCTTTGTTCGCACCGCGTTGGTCCCGGGTTTGGACCTCCTGGGAAGCGGTGTCTTGAGCCACGACCCCTTCGTCGTTCCCCACCCGAGGGGTAGGGTTCACGAAGGGGGGTGGCTGTGGGAGAAGAACAACGTTCTCCCCGATTTGCGTTTGAAGGGGTACCAGAGTGCCGAAGGCACCTGGGTTTTGATTGAGTGTTAGGATGAAGGCAGAGAATGTCGATTGTACGTCGATAGTGAGAACTGGAGGGCTCACTTGATTTTCGCTTCGGTCCCTCCTTCGGGTTTCGATGCCGAGGTGGGCATCGGGAGCGTTTTGTTGGAGCTGAAGGCGCAGGTCAACAGCAGCTGTTCCAACTCAGTGATGACCCCGCCCTCGAGGGCCTTGTTAGAGGCTCCGAGGGCGTTGACTTCACCGAGGGCCAGGTTGTTGTCCTCAAGGTTCTTGGACTGAGCACGAGTGGTTCTTCCCATTTTAGTAGGTGTTTTTTAGCTGAAGGGGAGGTTTTCTTACACTATTGTTCGAGCTCTCAATGAGAGCACCAAATGATGGATAAGTGTACCCGGAGGGTATCTATCCGAGGGGTTACTGCGGGGAGTATCTAGAGAGAGGTCAGAGCAGAAGTAAGAGAGAGAATATATATTACTGAGAATGTGTTGAGCGTATTGAGCATGGATTACAAATGTGGAAAAGGGGTGCTATTTATAGTAGTAGTAATAAATGCCAGATAGGGACACGTGTCATCATTCTGGTGGTCGAGGGGTCACCTCAACGGGGTGACACTGGCACTCGCATGTGGCCGCATTAAATGCGGTGGTTGGATGTGACGTTTGTACTCGGTACATTGATCTGGTGCATTTGGGTGGGAGATTCTGTCGAGGAGATGCCTTCGGCCGTAGATGATTGGCCGAAGGCTCTTCATACCGGGGGCCTCTCTGTGCGGAGGGCTCTAGGTACCGAGGGCTACTGTTTTTCGCCGTTTTCTCCCAGTACCTTCGTTTGCCTAAAACAACTGTTCTGCGAGTTTATAAGCCTTCAGTCATGGGGGGCGAAGGCACCTCAGCGTTCTTCGCGGGATGTTTGGCACTTGGGGCGCTGTGATTTGGGCCTGCTGTGCTTCTTGGGCCTATTGGGCCTTCGCTATAGTAGTGGGAGTCTATGGGCCGGGGGTTCTTGGGCCATATACTCCATCAACGAGTATAATCTATCTCGTTGGATAAGGCCTGTCATTTATTAGTTATGAACCACTACAGGTTAAATCACTTTTACAAAAACTTTTTTAAAAAAACTAATCATACGATCCATTCAAATAACATAGAAATTAAGTAAACAAATTCAAAGGCATAGTTTAAATATAGACTAAAAAATACTCTACGAAATCTAGAGGAGAACATTTATTCCCATTTTTTAAATACATCAATCATCATACACAACTTAAATACCTAAAGATCTGTGTAATAATGATAGATCTGATAAGGTTTTATGTATCCTCTATCAAATCGATTATATAATTAGATTTACAAAAGTGTGAAAACCCTTTTAAAAATTGGTACAGTAACTACTCAAACAGAAATGTTATCAATTAACATGCATGAGTCAACAGATACAGCTTCTTAAATAAAATTGAGGACGAAGATATGATATATACCCATCGGCGTTCCCGTTGTCAGATTACCGGTTGGCCGCCGTTGTTTGAATACAAACGCAAACGATGAAGGGAAAGAGAAAGTTAGCGTATCGCTCAAACTATAGAACTAGCGGAAATAGTTTGCAGTCTTGGAGGAGACGTAGGGACGTAGGGACAAAAGAAACAAAGGGTGAAGGGAGAAGCGAGAAGAAGAGACGGAGGAGAAGGGAGGAAGTTTGGAGAGACAAATGGGGTAAAGACGGAGGGTTTCAGAGAGCATCGGTTGAACCGATAACTCTGCTAGAACCGATGGATAAAAGTGGTGTGGCGCAGGTTTATTTACTCTATATAGTACTCCATCCATATGAGGGTAAAGTTGGGTTGGGTATAATGGGCAGAGTTAAATGGGTTAGATGGGTCTCGGTTGGTTTGGGATTATTATATTTGAAAAGTGTATAAATATATTTTAAACAATGTGTAATTGTATTGTATAAGTATTCTTGAGTATTCTTGAATTCTTGAATGGATAGCAAATTTGGTGTGATTGTAGTATAGAATAGAAATTTGGAATACATTTGGTGATCATGTTTTTCGGCTTATCAATCTTATGAGTCAATATTTTCATTAAACGCATAACTTAACATTTCATGTCATGAATTGCTTAATATTAAAAACAAGGAAGGTATGAGTTGTTTTTCTGACTAAATTAGCATAATTTAAGTAAAATCAGCCGATTTAGGAAATAATTATTGTTTTTTGAAAATTATGATTTGCAATGAAGATGGGAAAAATCAATAATAATACTACCAATCTTATTGCAAGATCTATTTTTTCCTTCTTATTTCAAAAAATATTCATAACAATTACTCCGTATTCATTTTGCGTTCATTTACACATTACCTAATACTATTAACCAATAATATGATATAGCTATTACTTCATATATGTCACGTGCATTGCACGGGTGAGAATCTAGTTATTATCAAACAAAAGTATATTATTTTTCAGTTTGGTTCGGATTCGGTTTGGATTTGTCGTTTTTAATAACATATGAAAGTTTTATTGAGTTTCTTGAATTTGGTTCGGTTTTATGAAGTTTTTCTCGATTTCGGTTAGATTTAGTTGAATATGGTTTGGAAGAATTACTACCAAAATCAAACCAAATTGCATATAGTCCAGTTTCAGTTCGATTTAGTTTTGATAAACCAAAACGATATGCTCACAGCTCATCCCTAATTTCCAATGGGACAAAAAAAAACTCACTATTTTTTATGATGAAATAAAGCATAATGATTCACAAAATCAGCTGCGCTTCTTTGTTATGGAATTAGTAAATCCATGCAATTTTTGACGCGTTTTACATCATGGATCATCTGGAAAGAGGCTCTTGCTTTAGTATAGGGGTAAGGCTGCGTACATCTTACCCCCATACTCCACTATAGGTGGGGAGCCTTTGCGGCACTGGGGTAATGTTGTTCTTGTTCATTTCTTATTTTCCTTTGTTTCTTTCTATCTTTAATTTGTAATTATAGTTTGTTTTTCTCCACTTTCTATCCGGGTCTATTTGGATCCAGGAAAAATTATAGGAAAGAAAACGAGGAGACTGTAAAATAAAATTGGAATGGAATAAATTGTTAAGAGAATTATTGATCTAAAGCCAAAAAATTATGTTTATTAGTTATCTCGTATTCATTTTTTCAAATTATTCTATTTTAGGTTAAATACTTGATTGATTATGTTCTAAAATTACCTTAAATAGCTGTGATATGAACGTGAGGAAATCTGAACACAACTAAAATGTTTAGAAACACATTCTCGGGAAGACAAGCCTCCTCTAATCTATGCAAAAGCAATATGTCTTGTAAACCTTCAATCTCTTCAAGCCTCCTCTACGTGAATGAACAAAATGTTATACTATAAAATGGTAAAAAAGAAAAAGTTTTGAAAAATTAAAAAAAATAAAAATCTAAAAATTTAAAAATTTAAAGATCAAAAAATTTAAAAATAAAAAAAAATAAAATTTAAAAAATTAAAAAATTATAAATAAAAAATTTTAAAAATTAAAAATAAAAAAAATTAAAAAATAAAAATAAAAAATTAAAAATTCCAAACTGAAAAATGAAAAATTATAAAATTAAAAAAGTAAAAAATCAAATAAAATAAAATTATGACTCATGACCATAGGAGTAATATTCACAATAGTTAGATATGTATCTAGTTTTTTAAGTAAGCTATCAAATAAAAGTAAATTGCGAAAATATTTTCATTAAACCTTTCCTGCTATTTTCTCCAACCAAACACAAATTTTTATCAAAATACTTCCTTCCCCTTCCCTTCCCTTCCTCCTTTGAACCAAACAAGGCCTTAAAAGAAAAGAGGAGCCTCTCCTGAGGCATTAGCTGACGAAGTACCAAGTTCAAAGAGTACAAACTGTTTGCATCTGTTGCTGCAGGAATACCAATCTCTGCGCACTTTACTCGGCTTGTTAATGTACATACTTGTTAGACCATTTGTAGTGGTCAAGAGTTCAAATTGTTAAATTTGGACTTCGTCCATATGAAAACAGTGTTTATACTCCGTCAATATTGTTTTCCTTGCATCCGAGCGCCGTCAATAAAATACACTCTCCATATTTTTTTACATACCAATTTAGTAAAACATTAATTAAATTATTATAAGTAATGTTTTACTTTTAATTTTTTCCTTGAATAATTATAAAATAAAAAATACACATTTTGATGTAAAAATAATATTTTTTTCTTTTTTCGATTAACAAACTGAGTTCAAGCGCATTGGAGCATTGGATTCTCTTCTCAAGTTGTGTATCTAGCCATAGCACATTGAATTACTTTCTCCACTTGATGTGTCTAGCTATTCATATAAAATTGATTCCCTTCTACACTATGTGTACCCTTTCCTAACATTAGATGCTATTCTCCACTATGTGCATCATTTCCTGACATTGGAGGCTGTTTTCCTCTATGTGTATCCTTTCCTAGCATTGGATGATATTCTCCACTATGTGTATTCTTCACTTGGTCTGTACACTTTCTTATATTACATTAGATCCTCTTACCATCATGTTACTACATAGGATACATGTTATTATAAATACATGGTCTCACTTTACATTGGAGTCACACAACTCACCTTAACTTCTCCCATAGAAAATAATGAGTTCTTTTCCCGCATTTTACCAATCCATTTGTTAGGAATATTTTATGGTGTCCAATCTAATTAAATATCTTTGTATTTGTGTAGTTTTTAATTAAACGTGTAATATGGGCCACAAATGTGTATCAGCCCGTTAGCTTCCTTGTAACCCGTAAGTTAGCCAACTTCTCCTATAAAAGGAGGCTAACTTACGGGAACCCTAACTAATGTTCGAGGCTTTGAGAGAATAGAGATGAGATAGAGAGATTAGGGTTTGCCGCTACTCTCCTTCTCCAGGGAGAGCAGCGGCCAATTTACACAGTATACCAGATTCGGTTTTTCATCTCTTAATCTTCTATCTGCTTCTTCATAACTGCTATGGTTTTTTGATTGTTTAGTATTTGGGGTCTATCAGTTGGCATCAGAGCTGAGGCGTGAAAAAGGTTGAATGTATCTGCGATTTTTCTGATCTTACGAAGAATTGCTCTGCTTTTCTTCATATTTTCTTCAATATAGAGTTTTGCTCCTGTAATCTTGTTTGTGAACGAAAATCTGTAAAAATTATATTGTTGGAATCGCCTTTCAAAACCGATCCAACAGCATATCCTCTTTTTCGATTTCTGTAAATTGTCATTTTTCGTAGAACTCTGCATGAATTGCGAGTTTATGCTTTTACATGCATGCAGAATCGATTTTTGACTTGAAACAGATACAGGAGAATCACGACTTTCAGGGCTATTCAGAACAGTTTTCAGATTCTCAAAATTCAAAGTTTTCATTTTTGCAGGAACTCTACATCTTGGGCCTCGAATTCCTAAACTCGACACTTTTAAAATCGAGAGTTTTAAACGTGCGGTTATAAACTCGAGTTTAAACCTTGAGTTCTGATCTCGAGTTTTAAACCTCGAGTTCTGATGTCGAGTTTTAAACCTCGAGTTCTGATCTCGAGTTTTAAAACTCGAGTTCTGATCTCGAGTTGTAGAACTCGAGTTCTGATCTCGAGTTTTAGACCTCGAGTTCTTGTCTCGAGTTTTAAACCTCGAGTTCTGGTCTCGAGTTGTAAACCTCGAGTTCTGACCTCGAGTTTTAAACCTCGAGTTCTGACCTCGAGTTTTTAAACCTCGAGTTCTGACCTCGAGTTTTAAACCTCGAGTTCTGACCTTGAGTTTTAAACCTCGAGTTCTGATCTCGAGTTTTAAACCTCGAGTTCTGACCTCCAGTTTGAAACCTCGAGTTCTGACCTCGAGTTTTAAACCTCGAGTTCTCACCTCGAGTTTGAAACCTCGACTTCTGACCTCGAGTTTAAACCTCGAGTTCTGACCTCGAGTTTGTAACCTTGAGTTCTGACCTCGAGTTTTAAACCTCGAGTTTTTAAAATTGAGAGTTTTAGATTTTCGAGTTTTAGGAACTCGATGTTTAGGATTTCGACATTCTGAAAAATTTCAGATTTTTTTGGAACTTCTCGATGTTTTGAATCTTTCAAAGTTTGCAGTTTCTTGGAACTATTAATTCGAATCTTGACATCCTTTGCAGTTCATCGAAGCTTTACATTATAGGATTTCTGAATGATTCCCTGTTTATCAAAGTTTTTAGAAGTTTTCGATATTCTGATGTTTTCAAACAGCAAGTTTTCGATATTATGAGGTTTTTCGAAACTCCAAAGTTTTCGATGTTCCAAACATTTTGAAATTCTGAAAATTTCGTTATTCTGATGTCTGTTTTGCAGGTGGATTTCGTCATTACTCTTCAAGGCAAACTCGAAATTAAAATCTCGTGATTAGGATTTTGAGTTTTTGCTTTAGAATTTTGTTTAAATTCACCTACTCTCGAAATTCAACATCGAGAACCTCAACCTCGAAGATTTTCCTCAAAAACTCAAAATTAGAGATTTTCTGCGACACCACACTGTTTTGGCCATAACTTTTGACTCGGTGACCCGATTTTTGCAAACCTTTTTTTGTTGGAAAGCTAACGAAAATATCTACATTAATTCTTGAGCTAAGCCCCAGAACCCTTTCTCACGCGCCCTCACTCGCAGTCCTTAAGGTTCAAAACGTTAGTTTTCCGACAAACTTTGTAAATCACCGATGTCCAGGTCAAAACTTAGGCAAATCTGATCAAATTCTTTCAAAGTCATACCTAAGGTCTTAGCTGCACTGTAGAGGTCCGAAAATCATAGATAATTCAATCAACCTCGCGTCAACGGTCATCTTACAACAATCAACAATCAACTGATGAAGCCTCCCCTAACTCATCAACATTATGTGATCATCAATATGCTGAAATTCTACATGATGAGCTCAGGGAAACCGTCATGTGTGGTACTTGTTCAGATTGCTTCACACACATGGCGGGTATGACGAGCTGTGAGCAATCAATCCTTGCACATTCTGAGAGGGAGTTTCAGTTTTCTCCTCCTAGCGCCTTACACCGACAAAGCAAGGAATCTCTCAACGGATGCAACATTCTAGGGAGAGTGTTCAATGTTATCCTCCCCGGTGCCTAACAATGACAAAGCATACCGAGTGCTCCAGTTGAGGGGGAGTACAGAGAGAAAATCAATGAGAGAACATGTTCCTATGTCTTAATAACCCAACTAATCCTACCCAAGGGACAAAGCCGAGAGTAAGTGAGTGAGTGAGTGAGTAATCATTATGAGAGTTAGGAAGCAGAAGGCTCAAGTGAGAAGGAAAACAATAATCAATGATGAGTTTGCTACCTCAACTGCTTGCTATGTATTGAACATTTACTCCTAGCCACTCAAATACCGAGTAGAAGTCACTGCATCTTGTCCAACAGTGCATGTTTAACCCTACCCAAGACCACTCACTTGTCTCCCAACAGACATGTGCTTAATCATATTTCACAGGGAACCGCATCTCTCATTACTGTCTCCTTCTAAGGCAAGTGATACTGACTACAGTGGCCTCAGCCCCATGCCACTGAACTTTCATTGATCACGTCGTGTCTAGTTACTCACTCCCAAATGTTTTGAAAATTTCTAGTACACAGACGCACTTTTTGAGTCAGTTGCAGGTCTTCTTGACCCGCGAGAACTTCCATAGGGCTCATCTATTACAGATGTAGACCAATGATTGAAAGGAAGTCCTGCTGATGCAACATAAGAATCACCATCATTTTCAGGCCATCGCTTCAGAGTTTAACTCTATAGTGATGATAACAGGCGTCTACATGACCCCGGGGGGCTACGTTATCTTCTTTAAATTCTACTTGTTTTTCCTGCTTTTTTTCGCAGAATAAAAGAATAAAGGCATGACGCCCCGATTCATCGGATCGTCATGAGGGGGAGAGTGGTCCACATGCCGTTAACACTCAAAAAATCATTCTGGGGCACTTCTCTCCTCCAACACTCTCTCTACTATCTCTGCAACTCAAATGGTCAGCTACACTCACAAGTCAACCATCATTATGTTCCGCTGTGTCACCGACAAGTTCTCCTCAAATGCATTCATTCCAAATAGTCAAAAAGACTACATTGTGGAGGAGACAGAGGTCAAATACTCATGTACTCAAAATGAATCCCATGTGCGCCCCCTATTTTTCAAAGAACATTCATTCTATAGGCGTCACTGGACTTCATCCAAGCTGATCTAGAGCAACTTCTGGAAGGCAAGGATTACAAGAAAAAGATTCCTCAAACCCCGGCTTCAAAGATCAGACTGCCAAGAAAACATTAAAGGGGAGATTGCAAGGATTTCTTCATAAAGCCTTCTCAGAAGTCAAGTTCAAAGACAAAAGAAGCTGAATAACAACAAAGACAAATTTATCTGCGCTGCAATGCTGATCCAACACGATTGAACACCAAGGGGGAGATTGTTATGAATATTTTATGGTGTCCAATCTAATTAAATATCTTTGTATTTGTGTAGTTATTAATTAAACGTGTAATACGGGCCACAAATGTGTATCAGCCCGTTAGCTTCCTTGTAACCCGTAAGTTAGCCAACTTCTCCTATAAAAGGAGACTAACTTACGGGAACCCTAACTAACGTTCGAGGCTTTGAGAGAATAGAAGCGAGATAGAGAGATTAGGGTTTGCCGCTGCTCTCCTTCTCCAGGGAGAGCAGCGGCCAGTTTACATGGTATACCAGATTCGGTTTTTCATCTCATAATCTTCTATCTGCTTCTTCATAACTGCTATGGTTGTTTGATTGTTTAGTATTTTGGGTCTATCACCATTCATGAAGATGATGAAGAAGAAGTAGTAGAAGAAGAAGAAGCTCATTCCGACCGCATGTGAATGACTATGATGGCTTTTTTAGTTGCAACAAGCTCCAACACTCGTGAGTACATAGATCGTGGTCGAGAAGCTGGACAACGTTTGTTGATGGGTGATTACTGGAATCCAAACCCCACCTACAACACATGTATCTTCTGGCGTCGATTTCGCATGCAACGACATTTGTTCGATTGAATCGTGAAAGATGTCATGGCCTTTGATCCTTATTTCCTAAGTACAGCTGATGCTGCAAATAAGGTATCTCTTTCTCCTCAACAAAAACTCACTAGTGCAATATTTATGCTCGCCAATGGTTGCTTGGCTCATTCCTTAAACTAGTTATGTCGTTTGGGTGAGATGACCACACTTTTATGCCTGAAGAACTTTTGTAGGGCAGTTGTTAGTGTATATGGTTCTTGGTACTTACGAACCCCTAACTCCAGGGATCTACATCGTCTTCTTGAAAAGGCCTCAAAGAGAGGCTTTCCTGGGATGATTGGGTCAATTGATTGCATGCAATGGGAGTGGAAAAATTGTCCTACATCTTGGGGCGGCCAGTACCGGGTATAAAAAAACCAATTGTACTCGAAGTAGTTGCTTCTTGTGATACTCATATTTGGCATGCATTTTTTTGCACTGCCGGTTCCAATAATGACCCTAACACCCTACCAAGCTCTCCGATCTTTGATTCTGTTGTAAATGGGTCTGTCCCTCAGGTGGGTTTTCGGGTAGATGGTAAGCATTATAATCAATGTTATTATTTAGCTCACGGGATTTACCCTTCTTAGGGAACTTTTGTTAAGACTGATGAGAAATTCAGTCTCAAATAGTATCTAATCTCACTAAACATGATAAAATTCATAGAATCGAGCAATAAGAATACTAACCGGTTGAAGAGAAACCGAACGTTGATGGTGCCGTAGAAGATGATGAAGCCATGACGTTTAGATTCTCTAAGGATACAAACTACAAATCGATAGATTGCTAAGTCTCCCTTGGGTCTCTTTATAATGGTGTTCTTGAGACCCTTAGGAAGAAACGCGTCTCTTCCCTTTTGTCGTAAGAGTTGGAATGAGCGTGTACTTTTATATATTGTATCAAAGAGAAACCCTTTTGGTCCCTTATGTATTATTTAATGTTAAAATATACCCATCATATGTTAACTATACATAAATACAGAGACCAAATCTGGCATATGGCAAACTTAATGGAAAGACATAAATGTCCCCAGTATTTATTAAATTATATAAATGGTCCAATGGCACTTAAATGGAATATTTTCCAACATTCTCCCACTTGACCTTGAGATCATTTATACATAAGCTAAAGTAAGTGTTGGCCAAGAAAAATTCATCTTGCTCCATAATAATATCAAAACAAACAAATACAGTCTAACGAGTCAACATAACTCGGGACCCCCATTAATCATACTTTGACACTTCTTAAAGAGTATAAGGATTAATATAAGCCAAATGACATTAAACTTAGGGTATTATGTTTGTCTATTAAATAACTTTGTGTGCACAATAAACAATAGACAAAATATGCTTAAGGAGGGATTCTAAATCAAGTACTTGAAATTAATACATAACATAATTAATCAGGCAC